TTGCGTTAATTTGATAAACAAACAAGTACAAACCATAAGAAAGTGATGAACACTGAGTTTATAAGTGTACTAGCATTAATACAAAAATTAAATACATGAGCTACAATAAATGCCCATGAAGTAGTTATTTCTTTCAGAAATACCAGCCATGATGTGGTGTCGTTAAAATTCAGAGCAAAGCACCACACAGTCCACCCAATTGCTATTCGTTTTGACAACATATGCACTTTTTCATACATTTTTGGACTACCTAGTTCTTTCAAAGAATCATCCACTGCAGTTAGTCTCTTCATACACATTTGAAGTCTCTAAAATGAAATTAAAAAATAATATTAAATACAATGGTATATATTATTATTCTGTGATGCGTTTACACATATAGGCAACTTAAAAAATCTTGCTTAATACAATCATTTTAATATTAAATAGAAATGTTATATTGACAATTGATGTAAATATTTCATGTGCGTAATTACTTTAGCATTACAGTGTAATCTAATTAGTGTAAATGTAAAAATATAATTGGTAAAAAGATTAAACACATTAATTATACCTTGTTGTAATATATGTTAAAAATCACAGATGTAATTGTCGTAATGATGGTAACTTCCAAAACGATTAACGTAATGGTATGGGGAAATAATTTTTCAAATGAAAGAGACCTCACCGTATAGTACAAAAGATAGCCATTTAAAAACCACACTGCCGCAGAATACAGAATGCTTAGATATACAACCCCAGATTTTGGACTAGTTAATGGATAGACACATAAACCGATAATAAAGCACGTAATAAAAAAAGGTCGAAAGGCTTGTTGAACTGTGGTAGTCATGATCGTCACAACCACGAATTAACACTGAGTGTTAAACTTTTTTTTGTCAAATTTGTCATTTCATTTGTTGGCAATTACATTAATGCGTAATAATACTGTTTTTTTTTTTCATAATAGCGATATATGCTCATTGGAGCACTTACGCAAATATGTTTCCATTAAAAGGTCGATCCGTTTTAGTAAATGAAAGAAATGACTGGTCACTAAATATGTGCTGCAAAATAATTGAAACATTGACGCTGATATTAATTTCTTATGTGTTTCTCTATGCAAAGTAAATATATTTAATATTATTTTTATTGTATCGTTTATGTATTTTTTTAACTATACTATAATATTGTATGTATATATAACAATTTTATATTTAATACTAACGTAAAAAATTCACTATATTGAATTATAAAAAATCTTAATACAATAAAATATTGAATAAGATATAAATACACACACACACACACACACACACACACATACACACAAAATATTAAGTTGACATATAAAAATATAATGATGTAATTCAAAGGAATGATATAATTTGGAAGAAAGAGAAAAAGAGAGAGAGAGAGAAAGAGAGAGAGAGAGAGAGAGAGAAATTTGTAACATAAAGATTTTTATTACATAATAACGTAGAGATACAATGTTCATTAATCACAACAAAATATATTTTATAAACGACAATTCTTGTTTAATTGTTCAAAATATGCATCTTGTGGTATAGGAGACATTTGCATTATAATCATAATAAATGTTGCAACTGTCATGACAAGTTGAAAGAAAATATTGCGCTCATTTGCTGCAACAATGAAATAACTCAAAAATTGTGATTTTTCAGGGGAGACACAATTTAAAGTTTGGAATTGTTATAACTTTCTATGAGAATTTTAAAATACCGTATTAGCAAGTAACTCTTATTGCAACTTTTATGATGTTCTTACTACAACGACAACTGAGATTGATTGAGTTAAGACAGTATTGCACCCCACATAATTCACTAAATGATATGGCACAATAGCGACACAACTGTTCCCTCGAGTTTGTGAAGCTTAAGCATCGTCGATTTAACTGTAAATAGTACATGTAACAAACCTTTTTCCTGTACAAATAACTCAAAAAGGGCGATTTTTATGTTATGTTATTGTTACACCAAATGGAGCGATATGCAATTTAAATTTCCGTACGGAACAAAGATTTTAATAAGAGATAAGAGACATTTTAGATTAGTATTTTGTATACACTAATTACATTTGTGTCATTTGTTAGAATTTAATATAAAGATATGATATAAATTTGATAAAAAAGGATAAAAAATTTTGACATTTTAGCAATCAGTTTGAATGTTCTACATAATTATTTTAAGATAGTGCAACAAAATTATTTTCAGATCTGCATCTAGCTAAATTTTTAGATACTTCAGCAAAACCATTCTTTCCGTATTCAAGATAGTGGAAATAATTTTCATGTGTATTAAAACATATTAAAAATGTATAAATCGCTAATAATTGATTTAATTAATTTTTTAATATTATATATTACTTGGTTATATACATATTATATATAAAGAATGCGTTTTGCTTTTTAATTATTAATATTTCAAGCGCAATGAAAATGTTTCACGTTTTTTAGTTTATTATTCAAAGATATTATTACGTGATTAATCTGTAAGTACAACAAAAAGAAGAAAACTACTAGTTGATAGAATCATTAATTGTTTTTTAAAAATTATTACTACACTGGCAAGTGATATACACGCATATAATCGATGTAATTACAGATAATTATTTTGATGCGCTTTTGGGATTCTAAACTTAATATGAAGTCTTCAGGCGTTCGACATTTGTATAACGATGATCAAATACGTTGTAATTGTTACGCAGAACTAAAAAAAAATGTATAAATTTTCAATTAATTCTTATATTTGTAAAGATAGCATTATATTTAAATATGATGTAAGATAAATGTAAGATAAATAATATAATGGATGTAAGAAAAAATTAGTAACTTAACTTTAATAACAACTTTAACAAGCTTAGAAGCATTTTTATGAATTTCTCTAATGTACGTAAAATACAACACAAAAAAATAAAGTAACAGTAAAAATAGTTGAAAAATAAACCTTTATGAAAAATTTGTTGCCCAAGGGGAAAAAACCCATTCCAGTAAACTCCAACGGATGATGCATTGTTTGCAAATTGAACTGATAAATCTGTACATGAATAGTTATTTAACGTAATTTGCTTTATTTACTTTTTGCTATTAAAATATTTTTTACCTCTTTCAAAACGTCAGCATATCGAAGAGTCAATTTATTGATTATTTTGTCAATTTTGTTAGCCTAAAATTTATAATTAATTTATATTAAATATATGTATATTCTCTCTTATTAAAAATGCATTGTACATTTTTTTTACCTTAACACTGACATTTTCACAAATGTAATTTATAATATA